AAAAAACATACTATATGTGGCGAAACCAACCTCGCCACTGTGAACTGGAGAAGCCTGGTTGCTCGCCTGCTCCCTTTGGACTATGGCCCTGCAGGTTAAACCGTTTATTTCCCCTGCAGAAAGGCTTATTTGTGTGATCTGAGTGCCATTCATCTAATAGTGTGCACTCAGATCCCAGCTATCTGGGGATATGTGAAATGTCTGTGTGTTATGTGTAAATGTGACTTTATGTATTTTAAAGTGTTTTGTGTCTTTTTGCAACCATGTGCTTAATGGAATCTTGTGTCTATCCTGGGAGATAATTGAATTACTTATCTCCAGGATAGAAGACTCTGAAACTGGTTTGGGCCAGAAAGCCATGCTTCATTTAGTCACAAAGGACTTCCCCTTAACTTTTGAACCCCTGGTCTGATTCGTGCCATTTTTTAATATGTTGTTCCCCTGAATGGATTGATTATCAAAATGTATGTTTTATGTTTTTGACATGTATATTTTAGAAGTTAGAAATATTGTGTAAAAACTGTATTCCTCTGCCGGTGATAATGAGATTACCCATTGTGTTCAGTAATCATATCACCTGCAGAGGGGAGGATTTTGTGTGGGAGTGTCTGGGTGTATTGTACGGATTGATTGGTTGTTTTGTAACGCCCTGTGGGCTGTACCATGTTTGTGGATTGGGAATAAAAGAGACTGTATGTGACAGTACAGGGAGTTCCTGTTTTAACCCTCAAAGTGAAGTGTCGTCTCATTATTGGGGAAGGATTTATTGTATGCTGTTCCAGTTTGACTGCTAGGAGAGTAAACCTATTCGTATGGTTCCTATTCAACTGTCTACAGCATTCATATGCTTGTGAGGATTCATATGCTTCTCCGGTTCGGTGGTTGTGGTGTCTGCTGCAGTGCTTGGAGTCCTCAGGAAGCGCTAGGAGCATCCTTTAACGGAGGTATCCAGTCGGGGTGCCAGGCGATCCGTTACACTATACCAGTCAAGGAGATATCATCACCTCTAGTGGTTGAGGCTATTGATGGGAGACCCCTATCTCAACCATTGATTACCCATTACCATTGATTACCCATGAGACCTTACCTATTTGCATTACGATAGGAGCTTTGCATAAGGAAGACATCACCTTCCAGACAATCGCTTTCCCTTCTTGTCCCATCGTATTAGGGTTCCCTTGGCTCATCAAGCATAACCCTCATATTGACTGGACTAAAGGGGAAATACTGGAATGGGGTAAATACCGTCAGGATAACTGCATGTTTCACATTACTAAAAAAAGTGGGCATTGTTGTTACCTGGTAATTGCTTTGGGGTCAAAGGTCGGTCATGGCCAATCAGAACCACAGGAGGGTTTGTGCTGAGCAGCAATCATGCACATGGAAACCTGGTAATTGCTTTTGGGGTCAAAGGCCGGTTACAGCCAATCGGATCGACAGGAGGGGTATTTAAATTCTCCTTTTGCTCAATGCCCTGTCGTGGTTTCATCCTGATGATAAACAGAGAGTCCGTTCCTGAT